GGGATCGAATCCCTCTATCCGCAGGTGAGCGTGCATTCCGAGAGCCCCCTGAAAAGAGGCCCGGAGAGGCTCCATCCCGGGGGATGGCACAAAAGTCACCTTGCGCTGAGGGAATGGAGGCGCTTACTGGGCCCTCCCAGCTTGAGGTGCTCCAGTTATCTCCTGAGAGGCGCTTTGCTCTCTGGGTCACAACTACAGACTGGAAGCAGGTTCCTACCTGTTCCTATTTACAGGACTAACTTCATATTCTTAGGAAGGACCACATCGCTGCAGTGTTTGCGATGGCCTGGCCAGGTTATGTTCCCTTTTAGAAGCACTAACTGCAGACAGAGTCTTCTGGAAGCGTTCCACACTCCCACAGGACTGCCAGACTTCCAAACATCCTGTAACAAATGCTGTTTCATGGGCTGAAGGGATGACAGCCATCTGCCACTCACCTCGCCTACCTGCCTCTCAGGCTCCCACCTTTGCACCCCAGCCCTCGCTTTCTACCCCGGTCACATCCACCTCACGCTTCCCGTGCCTCAGCCTCCGCATCCGGGCTCGCCGGGAAGCCAGAGCCCAGGGCGGTGCGTGCAGGCGGCTAGCCCAGCAGTGAGGGGCTGTGGGGAGAGCTCCCCTGCACATTGCACCATCCTTCCTACACAAGTATCCTCAGGGATCCGCGCTGGAGCAAGAGCAAAGGCTTTTGGGGGTGGCCCCTTGCCGCTGCCCAAGACAGCCACGTGACGGTGGCACTGGCAGCTCACCACCAGCTGCGTGGGGAACCACGAGCCCATGTCTCCTATATTCTGGAATGAGCAGGGACACAACAATTAATACCTGGGTTCTATTCAACAGTGAATTTTAACTCAGGATCATCTGGATCCCAAGTTACTCCATAGTAAGACTGGAGACAGACGGCACCTACAGTACAACACCAGCTTTTGGTAGCTCTAACCTACGGAGAGGAACATACCGGGAAGGGGCACAATCCACCCAGAGACTGGGTACTGGGGCAGAACCGCTCATTCTGAAGTGAGCAGGTACCATGTGGTCAAAGGACGTTGTGCCACACAGACTCAAGAGGTATTTGATGAAGGACAAAGCTCAGCTAAGAAAGCACAAAGCAGGCAAAGTTCTCTGTGCTCCACTTCTCCCTCAGCTCCTCGCTAAGGCTTGCTCTTAGAAGCAACTGCTGTAATTAAGAAAGCAGTAGTGCTAGATGCAGGTCATGACTCAAAGCTCCCTCCTTTTCCACTTGTACCCGTCTTCTAAGGGAGACTTTTCCACCTGGGAACAAGCTCAGACTGCAGAGTGTTCACACACAGCCTCCAATTTTGCCGGTGTACATGGATACACGCTATGATGGCAGCGCTCCAGGGGGAATCTCACTGGCATGAAAACCAGCTCCTCTGACAACAGGACATGGAAGTGCATACTAGGCTTGTCCTCCCGCTCCTCCCTTCCGGCGGGAATGCTCAAGTCCTGTTAGAACTTCAGATCAACTGAAACGGTTTATCACGCCTGTGGCACGTGGATGGGCTGCTCTCTTAAGTAATCAAAACATGGCACAATGTTAGCACAAGCGGAAATAAACTGCACACTGATGCCTTGGGGCCATCTAACTGACCCAAATTACTTGTTGCACTAGCCAAAGACAAGTCAATTTACTATGAGAAATACTGGAAAACCATCCCCTAGGTCAGAGTCCTGTTTCTCATGTGCGTACACACTGCCAGCAGAGCACAGCAAAGCAAGACTCACCACTTTGCCAACAGAAGAACAGCTCAAGAACCCACCTTTGGGTTAAAGTGGTGAGAGCAGGACACTGTGGGACTGTCAGCAAACGGATCGGATGAGCTGCTGTTGAAGAGCCAAGAGCAGCTAATCGTAAAGGAAACGGCTTGAGAGCAGTGCAAGAACTGCAGAGCACAAAGCCAGCTTGGCTGGAAGCGCAAGGTGAGGTTGTAGAGGCTGTGCAAGTGGTTGTGCAAGATGCAAGAGGGAACAAGCATGGCAGCAGCGGCCAGGACTCCAGGGAATACAAACACAATGGTAGCACGGGCAGTGGAGAAGGTACACGCTTGACAGGGGCTAAAAAGCCACAAAGTGCTTGGATCACTAAGCAGCATCAGGTCAAGATTCCATACGCTATCCTCACATTCTGGCCTGGTTCTTTTCCAGTGGGGGCAGAAAAGACAGGGAAGTAGGGGGAGAGGCCACCTTCTTTCCTGGAGACGCGTCACGTTCCTCAGGACTAACTATTATTGAGACTGAGCTGCCGATGACACTGGGAGACTGAGGACAATGATCCCTACACCTGAGCTCTGCCTCAAAGCCCAGACACCACGGGTTTGGGGATGGTATCCGACTGGATACTCTGAGCACGACACGTTGAACCTGTTAACTGAGGATCAATCCTGAAAATCTCCAAATCCACGCATTTCAATCAGCAGATGAAAACCAGGCTGTCCTTCCCTTCCTGAACGAGTGAGTGGTGCAAAGGAAACCTCAGTTCGCGCCGGTGTACTCAAACAAAATTAGCACCTACCCATCCAACTGTTCTGCCCAAACAGTGGCACTTTTTCCTGTATATACTAGACAAAAATCAACGCAGACAAGTGCTCAGTTATAAGTAAACCTTTCTAGCAGATATGTCGAAGCAGTTGCCTGCAAAGACAGATTTAACTCATTCATGCAGTTGTAAGAATAAAACACTCAAGCGAGAACTTACCAAGGGACCTTTACAGGGACATTTTTGTTAAGAGAGTGTGTTAAAAGGAATAGGAAGTAAATCAGATGCTGTAAACTTGATGCCTGAATTGAAACAAAAACTTAATTATGAATTTAAAGTGACAGTAATTATGCAAACAGCATTAAAAACTTGGCTGAGAATGGGATGCAAACAAAGTCATTTTAGTGATAGTTTTTAAAGATGCTGTATTTCATTAAAATAATCCATAAGAATGTTCTGATCTTTTTCTTCTATTCCCTCCCAATACTAAGCGAGTTCAAGATGTGCATTCAACCTTCCCATACAGAAACAAAGCATCTTTAAAGAGATAAATCAGCATTAGCTTACTTTTCCGAAAATTCACGTTCAAAATGATGCATGCTCTAGTGAAGACAGCAGAGAAAGAGAGAGGGCACAAGTTAATCATCCGGTCCTCGTGTCAAAGCGAGAAAAACAGACAGTTAGCTGAAAAGTTAGTACAAAAAATCAATACATTCTTAGTCATGGACAAGTACGAGGGGAGCGGATCGACTGCTTCGTGTTACACAGACAGTACTGTGATTCTGAGCAGCGGGCCGCAGTCCTCTGTGCTCGAAGCACTGGTATACTCGACGAACAAACACAACACCCGTGCTTTCGGCTGCACACGCCGTAATTCAAGCTTTACAGGATTAAAGTGCATTTAGAGAGATTTAGCAAGAAATCTGCAGGAAGATTAGCCACAGAACAAAATCCATTCCGTTCACGGACCGTTTCCCGTCAAACTAACACCTGTGTTGGCACTTCGCTGCAGGGGTCAGAGGTACTCGAGGAGCACTTACTGACGCACTCGAGTCACCTTACAGGCAGGTGAAGGGCAGAGGAGGTGCACCATATGGGTGTCTGACACCTCTGTCGTACTGAGGGATCCCAGCGAACGGCACCGGCGCAGACAGCTGAAGTTATGTACACCTCTTCATTCCCACAGGGAAGCACAACTGGTGCCCTCGAAATCTCCTGCTGTGTAAGAGGGCTCGCTGGTATTTTACAGGCTTACTGCCTTTAGAGGAGATGCGGAGAAGGTCTAAATAACCCACCCCAGCGCTCTGCATCCCCCCCGAGCCTGGCCACAGCTCACAGCCACGCAGCGAAATCACACCTGAAGAAATCAAAGAATTGTGTGCACAGAGAAAACCAGAGATGTTGAAGGGAGACCGTCAGAACCACGGGAAGTCACGTCAGAACCACTTCCCACGATCCAAACAAAGATGTTATTTAGCCAGGTCCCAGCAACAAACCAGCCCAAAGCATTGCCGTCAGGGAGGAAAGCCCAGGAGAGCCTGCGGTTCCAGCAGACACCCTTCTCCTCGATGCAGGCCATGCATTCCTATGGCTGCAGCAATCGTTAGGAAGCCAGCGAAGCCAGCTATCGCCTTCTTCCTTAGCATGTTTGCACGGACTATACCAAGCACTCTGCTGCCAGCCACGGCTCGCCAGGCCCTTCTTCAGCAACAAACACCTCTCGGTGCACGAGAAACCCTCTGAATGAGGTTACCCCCCCCGGCACGGCAGCCTGGAGCCCCTTCCTCTCTGGTCAGTGCCTCTGGCTCTGCACGTACCCCCACGCTACACTGATCTGGGTGGTTACAGGCCAGGACGAGTGCAAGAGCTTCTGTTGCATCCACTTCTCCGTGACTGCGTGCAGCTCCCTGCGCTGCCAGCGCGATGCCGTGAGGTGCCCCGAGTACGCCAGGGAGGCGGACCGAAAGCCTCACTCCCCTTTTGAGTCATCTCACCACACTGACACCCACCCGCAGTTCGGGGTTAGTGTAAATATCCTTAGTAGAAGGGAACTGGAAGAGATACAGAAGCTATGGCAGCACCACCTGTCACAAAGTCCTACCAGGGGGCCAGCGAGTCTTTCAGCGAGTCGGTAGCGGCACGCTGGCTTCCAACAGATGAAGGGCGTTGCTAGTGAAAGGAGTCAGGCAGGCTAGCTTTCTCTTACAGCTCGTATCCGAAGCTTCTTCCACGAATTCTGCTCACAAAAGCGTTCCTGCAACGGTGACACTTGCCCTGACCACCGACCAGACGCATCGGCACCCTACCGCCCTTCCCAGTTTGGATGCAGGGAGGGCAACGTGCGCAGTGCCGGGGGGCTGATCACGAGGCACTGTGAGCGCACCGGCAGCAGGACGACCTACACAGCAGAGCCAGGTTTTGAGTCCAAACTTGAGCCTTTTTTAGCCACCTGAGCAATGTCTGCGCAAAAACCTGCAGCACATGCTCCAACCATGAAAAAGCTTTCAGCTGAGGTCCAATGGGTTCAAGTTAAAAAGGTAAGTAAAGGGCAGTTTTACTGCAGAAAACAAGTGTTTTCTAAACATCTGTCCATTTGGGGGGCATAAGGTTTTCTTTTGCATTTTCAGCTTCTTCCTTACCACAGCCCACAGCACGTGAATAAAACCTCCAGCTAAGAGCCGGTGCATCCACAGAACAGCGCCGTCATTGTGCCGCACAGTCACAGCAATTAGCTCGGTCAGACTAACGAGGAGAAGTTAGTTCACAGAATATCCACTTCAACATACCCTCAACTTGAAGGAGAAATGACTAATTTGAATTTCAGCCTGACCGACGTGAATTACATCACAGAGAGCGCAGCATCCTTCGAAAGACCATCCACCGCATCACGAATTCGATGCATCGCTTTGATTAACAAGTTGTGCTGCACAGGACGTCCCTGGGACTGGAAATCATACGGCATGAGTCGTCCTAACAAACGGCGATGCTACGGAACGCTTCCCTTCCAGAAAGGCATCCCACGAACACCCCTTGCTGATAACGTTCACCAGTGCTCCTCTCCCAGCCTTCCCAACCGAAGCAGGGCCGCTACGGCTCAACACTCAGATTTGCAATCAAACTGGCATGTGCATTTCTGGTGCTCAAGCAGCGTCTTCACCCCTTCCCACCCCCTGCCCTGAGCACTAGCGAAACTGTTTGCACAGCTACCCAGCAAACTGGAAGAGGGAGCTGGCCAAAAATAATAAAGGTGCTGTTTTTAACCCAAATCAGTCGCTGACTTGTTCACCCCCGTTCTACTGGTGTTACCAATGGGCTGCAGGGGAGAGTCTGGCAGCCTAAGCCACTGAACTTGTCACACCCAAAATCTCTGAAACTCCCTCGCAGCAGTACAGGGACAATACACCAAACCAAGGGATGAACAAGCAGCACTTGAGAGTCCACAGACTGTTAACGTCAGGACAGATGCACACGGCAACACAGGGAAGTGTCTGGGAAGCAGCACTGTCGGTAGGACTGGACTGACAGGGGCTCTGAAGCAAGCACTTACGCTCCAGGAAAACCGTACCACACGTATCTCAATACAGGTTACGACATGGAGAAAGAAGAGTATTAAAAGGCTCTCTACGGCCCTCAGAAGGGAGCAAACGCCCACACTCAGGGTGACACAGGAGAAATGTCAATGCCGTGTTCCATCCTGGAAAACCACCGTCCTGTAACCATCCTGAGGAACGGCACCCAGAGTCGCGGGGGTGGGGAATAAAAACCGGAAGGACAAACGCTGGAATGACTCTGGAACTTACCTGCTGTAGAGGGCGGAGTGGGGGATGATGGAGATGTTAACGGGGAACTCGCCCCAGAGCCTGCTAAATAAAACAACAGTCTAGTAACTAAAGGTGTGACATGAAAAGCCACCGCAGTCAGAGAAGACAGATTGTTGGAAACAGGCCGGCTTTGTTGACTGAAGATCCAATCCTGCTCCCACTGAGCAGGAGGGGAAGATTCCTGTTCAAACGAGTGGTGTACTCAGACCCAGTCTGAACAGAGAGGCTTTACAGCACCCGGCACCGAGGAGGTCCAAACACATAAGCACTGCACTCCACAGTGAGGAACATTCCTCAGTGAGGAACGCTTCCTTTCTGTTGCTGAGGTTGTTGGATTTCAGCGTCTGTTCTCCTTAGATGGTGCCAGTGCATGGCTGGCACCCGTCTCTCCTTCTAGGAGATGATTTTCAGTCAGCTGCTGTACTCCACAGGTTACTCTGGTATCTGACTGTTCCACCACAGGCTGCTTTTGGACACCTTTGAGCCAGGTTTTTTTTGCCCACCATTCCCTTGAGTAAATGAAGACCTGCTAAGGACTCTGTTCTTTAGAATTTGACACTGAAGCAGCCATTAAACAGATCATTTTCTCATTCATCTTAACGCCTTACTAAGGAATGCAGATCACCAGAGTTTCTCCCTGAGGGCTGCAGTACTAAACAGCCCAAATAATGGATGTTGCTATTATTCCACTCAAATGAGAGTGAACTGAAGAGATTGATTTTTGGTTTTTAAGGAATGTGGCACAGAAGAGAGGACACATGGTTTTTATTAGGCAGCTGAAAATGTAACACTGACAGTATTTTTAATTGCTGCAATTAAATACCCAAGACAGTGGTACCGGGCTCAGTCCCACATTAATGTGTGAACTGATGGTGAGCCTGGATCTTTTAACCCAGAAACCGTCAGCTATGACATAAACACTGTGTAGAAGCAAGCTCTGTAGTTACCTGAGTTATTGGAGTTGCTGTATTTTGCTGTCTGATCTTCCCCACTTTCATAGGCAGAGCGTTTGGACTTCTTTGAACAAAGCAGAACAAAGGTGGGAGTGAGTAACTGCTTTCCACAACAAGGACTGAACTGACACACAGATCTGTAAGAGCCATCGCCGTGTCACAGCACCCCACACCCACCGGGCTGGACGGTGCCAACACCAGCGAGCCTGTTCTGCCCTCGGGTATCTCCACACAAGCGACCAGGGCAACCCCGGAGCCCTCTGCCCGCCGGGAAAGGCAGAAAACTGGCCCACTGAGACGGAGGAGGAGCGCAGCCGGCACACTGCAGGCTCCAACCACCTCCCTGGGCTGCAGGACGCAGCATGGACTGTGCACGAGGTGCTAAGCAAACCTCATTTCATACAGCGACCTCCAACAGGTTAAACCAACGTGCAAGTCGGCTACCACCGTAACTCAGGCTTCCCAGGAAGCGGATTGCTTAGCCACAGAAGTGAAGACCCTGGGGAGGCAGCACAGAAAGCCCCAGGACAGACTGGAATGGTGTACCTGCGGTAGTGTGTGCCACACGTTCAAGAAGATGCACACCTTTCTGTGTGAGCATCCTATTTAAACATCACTTACCTTTCGTGCTAAGATCTTCCTTTTCTTCTTTTCTTCCTCAGAGCCATGATGAGACTGAGCTCTGGTCAGCCTTCTGTGCTGGTGAATCTTCAAAGGAGGGGAAAACCAGAAAAAAGACTGCGTTAAGGTCTTAAATGTTCTCAGATGAGGCGTATGTCTGGAGTGCAAGAAAACCCACTGTAGGCTAAACTCTGCACGTTTAGCTTTCTTCCCTCACTTTCAATTTTTCTCTTCACTGTTGCTGGCAGGGGAGGGAGCCCCATACTGCACTTAAAATGCTCTTTGACGTAGGAGCCACGGCCTGTGAAGCTGCACCGCTTAGCACAGTGCAATGCCACACAGAATAGCTCTTCTACACCTTCTCATATCACATTTCTGGGAAAGCAAATCCCCTGAGGAAAAGCCTTTGTTACTCAAAATCCCGCTGAGTGAGTGAAAACTCCCTTTCCCCACGTAAAAGTGCTAAAAGGAAATGGAATGTCCGTAGGTAATACGGGAAAGAAATGCAGACGTTACCAATTTCTGTTCTTCTGTTAATCGTTTTTCTATGCATTCCTTGGAGGTTTTCAGTGCGTCTTTTAGCTTTGTAGGAATCTAAATACAGAACAGGGGAAAAAAAAATCATAGCACAGGACACGATAAAGTAAAACACAATTAAACTGCTCAAAACTCCCCGTTCATCCAAGCATGTTGCCCATCTAAAGCCCCAAGTTCTGCCACTATTCCCTTAGTGAAGGGGAACAGAAGACTCGAGAGGGACGTTTTCCACTCCAAACCTCGCTAGAGATCTACCAGCGGGGACAAAGAAGCACCGAGCAATGGAAGGGACACTCTAAAAGCAGGGACAGCCGAGTGTTTTGATACTCGGGTCCCATCCTCAAGCTTCCACAAGGCCGGCAGCGCCGCACACCCAGCACATGCCCTCCAGGAAAAGGGCTCTGGGGCAGCCCCCCAGCGGGGGCAGATGTGGTTCCCCAAATCCGAGCACTGCCGTGCTGGAGCTGGCAACGGTGTCCTGATGGTGTCACCCAGGAAAATCGGTCTCCCCAGGTCGCGGGGGTTGGTGTCCTCTCACTGCAGGGCCAGCAGCCTCCGCTCAGACACAGCACCATCGACAGTCACACAACTGGCTCCAGCACAGGGATTTCACCTGAACACTCATGGGTCACACTGTGCCCCCCTTCTGAGGGGTGAAACAGCGTTCTTGGGTACAATTCACCCAAGGAATCCTGACGGCAGTTGCCACAGGGACAGCTCTCCTCTCCCCTCTTTGTCAGCTAACACATCGCTACCCACAGCCCAGCCCTGCCACCGACAGCAGCAAATCAGTGTTCAACTCTACCTTAAACTGTGGTTTCTCGGAGTTGGTTAGCAGGACGTCACTGAATAATCTGTGAGTGGAAAAGAAAAAAGGAATATTATTCCCAAGAGACAGGCAGAACCACAGCAAGAATACTACTGGTACTGTTCACTCAACTCCTTCTCCCTCCTCTTCCTTCTCTCTCCTTGTCCCTAGGCCACTGCTTCGTTTTTCCCCACAGGTTTTATGTACTGCTTTTTATTTTCCAACCCGCAAAATTAGCAGCATCCAACCCTCAGAACGCAGCCACTACTGGCAGCAGAGTTCGCAAGACTGAAGTAGGGTGAAAGCTGACAGAGCAGGCACAGTTATCAGCGGGTCTCCCCAGAACCAGGAAGCCCTTTCCTCAGAAGTACATGGACAAAAGATTACGAGGGACTTTCTTTTAAATTTTACCTCAACAAAACAATTGCTTTTTTTAAGAAAACTCTTAGGATAACTGCTGATTCAGGGTTAACAAGGCCCACGTGAAAGATGGATAACCTGATGTGAAAACATCTGCATTTTACCTCTACTCTGGCAAAGGCGACTAATGCAAATATTGCGGTATTTTGGCTCTCCCCTCCGTGGTGTCAGCAGCGAAAGCAGAAATGATTAATCCTTTTCCAACCAAGCCAAAGACACTAGAGGGCAATGACAGTCTGAACATAAACTGCTTAGTCCATTCCAAGAGACGTTGTTCTGGGAACATACTAGAAACCTGTCCCGGAAAGAGTCCCCAAGCCTGGCTCCGAGATAAACGTTTCAGAAATTTGTTGTGGCTGTTCACTCTGGAAAATTATCACAGGCCTATGCTACAGAAAACATTCAAGCCTAGAATCAAGCTTGTAAGATTGCTATTCCAGGAAAAATTTAGATATAAATCAGATTTTACAAGACTTTTCAAACCCCTTGTTTACAGGGCATTTCTCTGAGCCTTTCTGATTACAGGTCCTGTCAAAATTATGCAAACTCGCCGTTTATATGATTATAAGAAATAATAAAGCTTAATAAATAGTTAGATTACACTGATTGCATTGGGCATCTACACAGAACAGTTGTGAAGAGCACTGGGACGAAGGGAATGCAGTTTAATATCCCACATAATACCAGATACAGCTGGGCATGGATCATTCATTCAACATCTTCTAAGACCTGTATATTCCTGTATTCTCAAGAGTTTTCCTACAGTCTTTCTGCCCCGCTTACATCCTTCTCTCTACCTCCCACCTCTCCTGAGAGCAGAGGAAGGGAGCAGAAGGAACTGAAGGCTGAGACCAGGCTGCAGGGTCTCTTCCCAAGCTCGGAGCACGCTCTCCAGGAGCTGCACCCGCACGCCGTGAGCTCAGACCCATGTTTAGGTATGGGCAATGTCATTTAGAACGTCGTGACTCGTATTAAACACTAAAGAACCCCCACCAGGAGCTGTGGTTCTGCGCTCGGCAAGTGGGTAACATCACAGCACAGTGAAAGCAGACCATTTCCCTGGGAATATTGCCTCCTAACCGCAGGAAGGGCGGCACTGCAGCAGGTATGATCTCCAGCTCAGCCACGCACTGACACTGCCCCCTCTCTGCATCCTGATCTTGCCCCGTGCCTGCCCTTACCACTTCACCGCTGGGAGGTTTAAATTAGTTGTCCGTGCTGCAGAGGATCCCTAAGCCAGCCCTGCAGGAAACCAGCCAGAACCTCCCCACAGCACTTCATACCCCGACCCGCTCTAAACGGCGCTGCTGAGCAGAGCAGCAGCTAGTCCTAAGTAAACTGAGAGCAAAATCTACTGAAGCAGGTCCGAAGGGCACATGCAAAAAGCCTCCTTACTCTAAAAGCAATCTGTGCATGACCTTAATCACGCTTGCACTACGTCAGTTTAAACCACAGCACCACGTTAAAACGCCTCCATAACAGCTCCAACGGAGGCAAAGAAATGAACCCATCGTATTCCCAAGGGATGGGTTCTATAAAGCCTATCAACTTCATAAAGCTTCATGCAGGACGCACTATAAATCCCTCGGAATGAGGAGCAAATCTTTCTAAAAAGGAACAGGAGCAAAAAGGTTCTTCCTCCGAATGTAATTAAAAACACTGTTATGAGGATAAAGCACAAGTACAACAAGACTTACGGCATCTGTAAGAGCCGCGAAACAGTTGGCATGCCATTCTTCATAGCTTCACAGGTCAGAATGGATTCCAACACAGACACTGCCGAAGAAAGAATGAGAACGAACACATTTTTGCACGGCAGGACAGCAAATAATTTAGAACAAACGTCTGGCATGGCCGCGTGATGTTCCCTGGAGTATTGCATCCACTGAGCAGAGAGGGAGCTCTGTGGCACGTGGGTTTTATTATAAGGTTACTATGACACAAACAAACTTTCCAAGAATGTTAGACATGAGGCGAGGGAATCCAGACATCTAATTGCTTACTACCCACTGCTTTATCACTCAGTTAAAAAAATGTTTTATTTATATTTATATTGCAGGAAGAACACATTTTCAGTGTTTACAAACTACTAACTCATTCTTCCCGGTCACAGGCTGCAAAGGTCTGAGGCTGCTGTAAAAGGTAAGAGCCCCCAGGAAGCCGGATCCACTCACCAACAAACACTGACGGCGCAGGAGGGAAGCTGTCTACCGGAATTGTATCTGGGGGTCTTCCATATGTCATCTCATACAGTAGGTGTCCAAAGCAATGTACATCAACGCCTTCTAAAGTCTGCAGAGAACAAAACAGTAAGAACACGGCTTGCTAGAACTGATCGGTTTTTCACAACAGGCTTGAAAACACGCGATAACCCGTGAAGGGAAGAGGGCGGTCTCGCGCCTGAAGGCAGAGAAGAGGAACCATTGAGAGAGTTCCCAGGCACAACCGTTTCCCGGCACAGCTTTGGCTCTGCACGCCTCACGCGGAAGAAGCTCCTGCTTTCTGTGTAGTGGTGACACAAAGGGGACAGCAGGACGGCCGTGTTCTGTACGAACGCGCAAAGCCGTCAGCTCTTCCCACACACAGCAGTTTAGAGCGCCGTGCGTTGGTACGAACCACAGCCCAGTGTGTCTCCTAGCCGGCTCAACCCGCAACAAGTGACATTCCCAGTACGACCAGCTCTCACTTCACAGGGAGGTGGATAAAAGCAAAACCACATACCAGACCGACCCAGGAGAGCCTCTTTCGGCCCTCCTTAGGCTTGTCCAAGCCATACACACACGCTAAGCTCCCAGACAGCGTATTTCTCAGAGTTCTGAATCACATTTAAGCAGAAGTGGATCCTTTTCCTGGAAGGGGCTTAGAGCTGTGAGGGCACTATGAACTTCTGATCCTTTCTTTGACAACCCAGTGGAACTGGCTTGGCAAGATCAGCAAGCAGCTGTCCCGTGGTGCCCTACAGAACTTATTACAGTGAGCACTTAAAGGCAGGGCAGAAGGCTGGCTAAAAGGCTGTATTCCTGCAGCAGGGCAAGTTTGATTCTGTATTTATGTAGGAAGATATTTTGCTCTGCAAGCCTGCAGTTGAGACACCCTTCAAACAAATGGAAATCAGCTTTCACAGCTAGATGTCTGCAAGCAGCTAATAACTTTTCACAGCGCCCACCAAAGCCAAGCTGATTGCTGCTCCAGCTAAGAGCAAATAATAAGCTGCGCCCACTGCACAGAAATACAAGTGAAAAAGTGTGCTAGACAACAGGCACATTCCTATGAAATACAGGACCAGGGTGGAAAGAGATTGGAAAACAACAGCAGTTTATCTCTCCGTGCCAGCACTGCTGTCACCAAAACACCCACCTGCACCCCACTTCTACCTGCTTACCTTTGACCCCAGCCTCACTCCAGCTGCAACAAAACTTCTGTGCAGCCAGACAGTGACTGGGAGGAAGCAGAGAAGGGATTTGATGGAGAAAAGCTCAGATTTAAAAAAGGGGGTTGAGGGATTTTATCCTCCCCTGCCCCCGCACCCCCCCATTCTAGTCCTCCACAAATTTTTGACGACAAAGGGATGCTCAGGAATCATCTGAATTAACAGATGAAGCTTACGTTAATTTTCCGAAACTGTGAAAAGTATGATCGATAAAATGATGGAAGTCCCAACAAGGAATTTTCTAGATCCAGTAACTTGCAGGTGTCCCCATCCAACATCACATTGGCAGAGTGAAGGTGGCCGTAAGGAAACCCTTTCTCATGCAAGAATTTTAACACCTGAAAAACACCCAAGACAGAGAAGCACTGTCACAAGATGCTCTGAGGCCCCAGGCTCTCAACTGCTCCAGGGCTAAAGCAGACACACAGTAGATGAGGCCCCTGTTTGGAATGCTTGCTCAGCTTGACCTCCTGTCTACATCAGCTTTGGCGGGCTATTCAGTTCCATTCCACCGGTAACATGTCTCACAAAACAAACATTTGATACTGATCCTCAAAGATGCCCCCCGAGGAGCTCTGGAAACTAAAATTCCCAATTCTACTGAATATTTGAGTCTGAATAAAAATTTTACAAACACACATTAGTTATAATGAATTTACAGCACGTGTTCTGCAGGCTACAGATTAATTCTTCCCTTTTTCCCACAAGGAAAAAGCTACATTATCACCTCCCACCCCTCCAGCTCCTCACGTAGCAGCTGCCTTTTTTTGGTCAGAAATGGCCTCACACGTCCACATTCAAAATCAGCTCCCAGCCACCAATCTCAATTTGCATTTAGCTTTCAATTCTGCTGCCAAAATAAAGCTTGTGTGCTCAAAAGTCTGTCTACTTTTTCTAGTTAAACCAGTTGGCCTCAAAAAAACCCACCCCAATAACATAAAGGCTGGTAAATAAAGAACAAAAATACCTCTAATATTTGCCTTCCATATGTTTTTATTTGCTGAAGTTCAAGACCTTGAATTTTTTTAGGGTTGCAATACTTCTTCAGGAATGGGTCTTTTGGCTTTGCCTTGAAAAGAAACACAGATATCAAGTATCATGCCCAGAAAAGCCAGTAATTGTCCTCATTTGGTTAGCAAGAGATGGTCAACAGGTATAGAAAAGGCTCAGTAAGGTCATGCCCGCAAACCACTCGAGTTGGGTGGGCAGGAGGGAGACCTTACCTTATAAATAAGGTCCTTTAGTGTCCCTTTTTCACTGAATGGTCTAATAACCAGCGCTGAAGATTCATTGGCAGTGGCAAAAGTGATTCTGTAAATATAGGGATGCTACCAAAAGAAGAAACTGTAGGTAAGTTTGAGGTGACAGATTCTGCAATTCATTTTCACTCGATTCCCAAGAAAAGATCTGCCTGAATTGTATATTTAAAGCAATAAATTGGATTCTGGCAGTGACATTTGCTCAAGTTATTCAGTTTTAACCTGGAGTAAATGCAAAGAAAACTTCACAAGGGTCCAACTTCCTCAGAAATTAAAACAAATATGTATCCACTGTCTGGTTTTAACCAAACAGCCTGGCAGTGCAAGAAACGAAGAATCCAGCCCCATTGGCACTGACACAGGAGCAGCTTTACTGCAGGTTTAGGTCATGCCACGCTACTACGTTCATTCACATTTTAGACAACTAAGGCACGTAAGGAAACACGGCATCAGCTGGCACAAGAGTGTTACATCTTGAGAGGTTATTACAACCACCACCTGCAACTGTATGAAACCAAAGGGGACTGCACAGTTGGAAATAACTTACACAGGCCACACGCAGACTCACTGCAACGGCTAGTTAGGACAGAGACCTTGTTTATCAATACACCCGTTCCGGTCAGGTTGGGGGGCTGAGAAGCCTCGGTTTTGGCCTCCTGTGTTGCATGCATCTGCTGAGTTCCAGGACTGCACAGAGGTTTACCAGTTCAAATACCACCCTTGCCAGCCAGTCTCTCACAGGCTTAATGTTCTTAGAGAGAAACTCCTTTTGGAGTCAAATGACAGTTTTTCAGAGGTGCCTGGTGGATTTATAGCGTGGCACCACGCAGAAGCTTGACTTGCACAGCCTGCACTGCATCCTACCGAGATATCCCTGTCTTAAGATCAAAGAACTGAAGGAGTAACACTGGTCCCACTGCCTTATCCGTTGCTGCCTGAGAACACCCCCAGCACATGGGTTAGCAATTGCACCCAGACAGCACTATCCCAACAGCCTAAAAGAGCTGAGGAGCTGATAGAAAAGCTCGTGATCTGCACAAGAATCAAAAAATACAATTAACCACAACTCTGAAACTCCTGTAATCATCCTGCAGGATTGTTATTTGTGTGAAGAACATGTTACCTCATACTGTGTGGGAAACGTAATTAAAAGGTTTGCAGAACTCTAAGTGAAAGGAACTCCAAAATTACAAACTGTGTCTACTAGGCTACACGTGCTTTTGCAAGATCAGTCCGTGACAAGCTCTGTTGTGCTGGCACGATTTCAAAGTCTTCCAGACATACTCACAGAACAGGAAGAAAGAAGTTTCACAGCATACTGTAAGTCCTTGTCAGACAAGTATTTATCAGGGCCAAGATCAGCCTGGAAATAAATAGGAAAAGAATGGCATCGTAACAGATGTTGCATCGCATAAGGAAAACGTGATCCCTATTCCGCTCTCACACATGAAGACAGCTGTGCGAAGGTGTGTGCTGAAGAGCAAGGAAATCACATACAGAATGACAGCCGGGAGGCTGACTAAGGCCATGGTTTCACAACAAAGTGTCGGGCAGTAAATAGGTATTATTGCCTCCTTCCTCCCCGTATCTGACACGCATTACTACCACTGAATGAACTCTGCAACCCCAAACTCGGGGACTGTGTGCACTGTGAACTGACAAATCCCCACCCTCTTCCTCTCCAGCAACCACCAACTTCCCTCCTACCGCAGGGATCTCCGCTCCCCAGTGAAGGCTCGCCAACACTAGGCTTGTACAACTAAGAGGGCGGCACATTTCACGCAGGAACATGAACAAGTGTTCAGTAACAACACAACTAGTTGGTGTCAATACGTGTCCACCTTAAAGGAGCAACTCATGTTGCTCTCACCCATTAGTTTTCGGTAAAACTAAGGATCCGAGTAAGGAAACCCATCACTTCACAAAGGATCACCTCGTTACTCAGTGAGAAGACTGATATGGTCAACAGCGACAGCACTACCACCGAAGAAACAGAGGTGCAGGATGAGAACAAATGACCAGGCACAGAACCTTCCAAACTGGATTTGCCACCGGAGCAAAGACACGCAAGAAGCTCCCACGCCCCATATCCACCTAAGGGCTTTCTGGGCTGTGCCAAAGCCTGAGCTCTGCAGTCTGACTGGCTGCCACTCATGCACGGGAGTCAACAGTGAACCTGGCTTATTGCCTCTGTCAGACAGACCCGAGTATGAGAGGAAAGTGTACATACCCAGCTTAACATCAGCCGTTCCTTTGGTTGATTCTTAATCTTCATTAGGAAGTATTTCTTACGTATTCGCCAACCTACAAAAGAAGAGTCACCAACAGCTTTAATTAAAACTACTAAATCGGACGACTTACAGGCAGGACGAGGTCTGTAAGCAAAGAGAGCCCTGTGATCGTAGGACAACTCGTAGAGTCGGAAAAATAAAACTCCAGACAAGTTTTCATGCATACACTCTCCTCTTACCTATATCTTTTAACGGTTCTACCACTTCCCACTTTGGTGAACATGGAAACGTGCTGTAAGGCAATTTCTGGAAAGAGAAAAGAGTCTTTAAGAGGCTGTGTAAAATGATTATCCACGTAGGGTGAGGTCCAACGCCTGAAGGAAGCCTGCAGGAATTCAGACTGCAAGTCAGCAAAATGGCTTTCAAAGGAAATCAGATAAAAACTGCTGTTAAAGGGCATTTGCATTTTTAATGTGAGAACTGGAATCCATAGAGAAAGCACTGCCTTTAACAACCTGAGCTTCCCCAGCCTGCATTCTGCCCGAACTAGATCTGCATTTCCAAGTCCAAACCCAGCGCTCACAGCCACGCTACATCAAATCACTAAACGTTCCTGCTATACCTGTAAAAGTGCTTTTACGTCCCTCCAACGAGCATCTGCATTCCCATCGCTACACCTAAGCAGTTCTG